TGACATAGCACGGGTACTCACTCCTCTTACGTCCTGCGGCACTAGCGGCATTTTTCTCCAATCCCACTTCTGACACCAAATGTTACGTGCCTGACGTCACGTTCCTAACTATGCGGGCTTGGGTTACGGGATTGGATGAAATTAAACACTAATACCGGTTTTCAGACTTTCTATTGCACTTAAGTGACAGCGTCCACGGATACGGATAAGTTATCGGCGTTCCTCTCCAGCAGAGTCCGGCCGACTGACACAACTTTGCCGTTCACTGTTCACGCTGACTTAACTCACTTAACTGACTGCACTTCACTATTTCACTGTACTTCACTATTTCACTCACTTTTCTTCTTTTCACTTCTTCCTTTTCTTCCGAATCGCTTTGGACTTAGAACTCAACTGCCAGCGGTGAGCCGCAGTTCCGCTTATATACCCCTGGTCAGGTTCTAGAACATTCAATTTCGTTATTCTTTTTGATCGTCATGCCTCCAGAACCTTCCAATAATTTCGTTATTCATTTTTATTTATTCTCCTTCTCGCTCCTTAATTTTTCATTACTTTCACTCAAATATTCCAGAAAGTTCGGCAAAACTTCCATCAACTAAAAAACTTCATGTTTACGGCGGGTCTCGAACTCGGGGTCTCTGTGGTGTAATCCACACGCCTTACCGATTACACCAACTCGTGTTGACAATTCACGACGAAATTTACAATCTCTAGGCAACGTTTGACAACCATCCATTGACGTCATGATGTCAAAGAGTTTTCTGTCACAATATCAAAACAAATTATTTAAAGAAACGTTTTTGTTCAACTTCAGGTAAATAAGAAAATAATGTTATAATATGGATGTTTGTTTTGCCGAGCAAAGCTGAGAAACTTACTAATTCATGTTTTTAAAATGTTGTAATGTCATCAATCAAAATAGTCTGTAATAAAAAAAAAAATTACAAAATAAAAAAACCGCCTTCAAAAAAAGTCAAGCAATAAAAGTTCCTACACTAAAAAGTAAAAAATAACAATTTGAATTACTGTAAAAAAACTTAATTTATAGGTAAACTTATTTGACATTAATATTTTGCAAATATTCAAAATTTATTACTTATTTTTGGAGTCGGTGCCAGCCCATGCAAGGAAATACAAATCTGGAAGCATATCCTTTCAATCATAAAAAATATTTGCAAATCCGTCCATAAACGAAGGAGTTCTGAGGTAACAAACATAAAAAAAAAATAAAAAAAAATACAATCGAATTGAGAACCTCCTCCTTTTTTTGAAGTCGGTTAAAAAGTAAAAATAAATGCACTTTTTTTGGGATCGGTACAATTGTCCGCTATTGCAATTTGCAATTTACCGGAGGCCCAATCCTCTCCGTCCCTTATTTCTTCTTAATTCCTAAATCTCCAAAAAACCGGTAACCTATTCCTAAGAGCTACTTAAGGATAAGTATGCAATGTGATATACCTGATGAAAGGTGAACTAAGTGGTCCTACTTTGGCTCCTACTTTCCTTACTCAAGATAAATCTTATGTATTATTTTTACGATTAAATTAATTTCTTTTTTTCTTTGTATTTTTTTTAAATAATAACTCGGTTTGATGTTAAAAAAACTTAAAGTCATAACAGAATAGAGACTCGTAGAAAATTGTTGATATCGACAGTTTGAAAATAAATTTTGTGATGCTGTCCTACCCAAGAATTTTCTTCTGTATCTTTGGCTATTTAAAAACATATAATTTCACTTTCACATAAAACTCACAAACAAAACATAAATAAAGGGTTGTTCCGTGGGGGGCACAAACCCACGACACATTGCACGGCAGCCGGTCGCCCTATCACCGCGCTTACCGTGCAATAAGAGAATTGAATTTAACTTGTTACCAAGTGCCGAAATGATTTCTCATTGATTGTTGGAGGGCTCTCTCTATCAATACAACGCTACACTATAATTCCACAAGAGATTGGGTTCCTCACTGAGTCATAATGAAACGCTTTTAACGGCGACTGACGACACAGGGAGGCCATTACTACAGCGGATACTAGTAATGATATATAATCACTACATAGTATATAACAAAGACGCCTTCTCCACCTCTATATCCCTATGTACCTATGCTTATACATATATTTAAAACTACGCAATAGATGTGCTTTATTTTCATAGGGAAAGTGATTGAAGAGTAAGGATTATAATTTATGCATAACAACATCCATCAAATAGTGGAATAATACTGTAAAGTCAAAAGTCAAGTCAAAGTCAAAATTATTTATTTCAATTAGACCCATACAGGCACTTTTGAACGTCAACACAACTTTAAAGATACAAAGTGTCAGTCTGTCGGTCAGTCCTCTTAGTGAAGCTATTCGCTCGTTCCAAAGTGTAGATTCCGATGGAGAAGAACGAGCAAGAAACTCCATGGTTACTCTTTTAAAATCAGTGTCACATAAACATTCTTTGATACATTATTTAGTTAGTTTGAATATGTGAGAACAGTGTAACGCGTGTATGAATGTAGAAACATAAAAAGAAAATAACCTTAAGAACAATAGACAGTCCGGAGCTGACCAGTCCCAATTGACGGCGCCCGTTCACGAGCATGACACGTACACCAGCATCGCCCAACTCAACCATAATATAGGGAATCGAGCGATCCAGTGACCGTGCCACCGCCAATGTGACCTTTGAGTGAGCATGACAACTCCAAGCTGACATATGGACCGACATTCTGCTAGTCTAACTAATTTTAATAGGTTACAGGGCACTCACATTTACAAATTTATCAAGTTTAACAATAAAAATAGCACGGTAACAAATTTACAAAATCTAAGAACTTCCGTTCAAGCAAAGATCCACTGGAACATTATTTATATTCGTGTAGGTATATTATCCTGTGGAGCAGGACCAGCCCGTCTCCAAGCATCCTTATCCTCAATATAATCACTCAGTTTGTAATATGCTTTTTTACACAAAGTTTTCTTTACACATAATTTAAAATTTCTTTCATTTAATTGTTGTATTTCGCCTGGGATTTTGTTATAACACTTAACGCTGAATCCCATGAACGACTTGTGTACCTTTGCCAATCTAAATAATGGCTGACACAATCTATCTCTATGTCTAGTTTGGTAATTATGTCTGTCTGATACCTTATCAAATAATATTAAGTGTTTCCTAACATACATTATATTTTCATAAATAAACTGACCGGGCACAGTCATAATATTGATCTCTTTAAATTTATCTCTAAGAGATTCGCGAAGCCTTAGGTTGTAAATTGCTCTGATTGCACGCTTTTGCAAGACAAATATAGACTCAATGTCAGCAGCCTGTCCCCACAACAAGATGCCATACGACATAATGCTATGAAAGTAGCTGAAGTACACCAGTCTTGCAGTGTCCACATCTGTTAGCTGTCGGATCTTCCAGACAGCAAATGCTGCAGAACTCAACCGTCCTGCCAGAGATGTGATATGGGGCCCCCATTGTAGTTTTTCATCTATGGTTACACCCAGAAAAGTAGTCTGTTTTACAAATTCCAATTTCTTGCCGTTTAATAATATGTCACATTCGTTACTTTTTACATTTGGTAAACTGAATCGTATACACTTTGTCTTTTTGTCGTTTAGAACTAAATTATTAACTGTAAACCAGTTATGAACCTTCGTAATAGCATTATTTACTTCGTCATAATTATTTGTCCGTCTATTTATTTTAAAAATCAACGATGTGTCATCAGCAAATAATACCATTCCCGGTTCTCGCTGAAATAAATGAGGTAAGTCATTTATGTAGACCAAAAATAGGAAAGGACCTAATATCGAGCCCTGTGGTACGCCCATAGATATGCTAGCACCCTGAGAATTCACTTTGTTTACCTGTACTTTAAGCTGCCTATCCTGGAGGTATGATTTTAATAAATTGAGTGAAGCCCCTCGAATACCATAGTGTTCCAACTTTAGCAACAGTGTCTCGTGTTCGACGCAATCAAAAGCCTTGGACAGGTCACAAAAAATTCCAATAGCGTCGTGCGACTCCTCCCACGAGGCAAAAACACGCTTAATTAAAGTTACACCGGCGTCAGTTGTGCATCGACCTTTGGTGAACCCATATTGTTGATCATGAAAGATGGAATTCATGTTAAAGTGACGCAGCATCTGAGAAAGCATCAGCTTTTCAAACACCTTACTAAGCACCGGTAAAATAGATACCGGCCTATAATTATTAGGATCGGTATCATCGCCAGATTTAAACAGTGGAACTACTTTGCTATGTTTCATCAAATTTGGAAAAACTCCCTGATCTACACTTCTATTATAAATTAAAGCTAAATGAGGCGCTATAGCTTCTATGAAAGCCCTACACACTGCAACAGACATTCCCCAGAGATCCTCTGTAGACTTAACTTTAATGTCTTTAAACGCCTTTATTACTGATTGGGGGTTTGTGTACTGAAATTGGAAATCAGAACGGCATTCTTTAATATTTCTTTTCAGAAGACTAATTGAAAGTGCCGGAGATGATTCTAAGTCCTTTGTAGTTTCAATGGGGATATTCTTGAAAAAAATTTCAAATTCTTGTGCAACTTCCCGATTTACACTAACATGTCCATTACCGGTATTTAAATTAATTTCCGTGTTATGCAATTTATGTCTGCCTGTCTCATTGTTAATTATTTTCCATGTAGCCTTTGTTTTATTTTCAGCGTTCTTAATCTTACGGCTAATGTAAAGAGATTTTGCTTGCTTACAGACCATTTTAAATATTTTTGCATATTTGGACACATGCTTGCTAAAGGCTTCGCTTGTATTAAATGGTTTCATACCATATAATGATACAAATGTAATTTTTCGGTTTCTAATGTGAAGGTGTAAATAATTATCTTTTCCATTGTAAGCTTGCTAAAGCGATATATCATCACATATTTATATTTCAATATAATGTACTAAGCCTAAAAACACACAAAAATAATAATAAATAAGTGTGGGAGAGCCATGCTTCGGCACGAATGGGTCGGCTCGACCGGAGTGATACTATGGCCTCACAGAAAACCGGCGTGAAACAACGAGTGAGGTTACTGGAGGCCCAGTCCTTCTCTAAAAGGTCGGCAACGCTCTCGTAACTCCTCCGTTGCGGGTGTCCATGTGTGGCGCTGATTGCTTACCATTAGGTAACCCGTCTGCTCGTTTGCCGACAAAAAGAAAAGGTCTGCAGAAAATTGGTACATGTCTATCACTTATGGATATCCCACAATTAAATTATTGTGTAATTTACTTTTAGTGATATATAATGGCTAATTTTCGAAGCCATTTCAACCAATACATCATTAATCCTTATCCAATTAAATACCTTAAATACATTGTTGATAGATCTATTTGACTCTCTACAGAATATGGTTAACATGAATATTTTTGAAGATATTTCTGATTTTCTGTAGCGTATAAGCTTTGCACGCGTGCGTAACCGGGGCGAGTCGCTAGGTGTATATAATAACTTAATGTTAAGAGTATCTATTTTCCACTGAATACAGTGGAAACATTCGAAGCTAACTAATCAGGAAGTTACTAAAGTAAGTTATTTACATAAAATCTTGTTTAACTTGAGTTTATAAAATTCTGAGAAATTTCAGTTTCGTGTAAACAAACAAAGTATTACTGTACTTAAAGTTTGACAAACAGTTAGTTGAACTTGGAAACAGGTTATTGTTATACCTTCACAACTTTAATTTGTAAAGCTTTGACTTTTAAATGTATTTAACTGCAATATTAACCTATTAAAGAATGTAAATTATTTAATTTATTTAATACAATGTCGTTAAACATCATGTTGTATTATAAAGCTGATGTTTTCCAGTGAATAGAGGCAGGTTCTTTGCTTATAAAATAATTCGTAAATATTACATTACCGTCGCAGTATAGCAACCACGACATGAGAAGCAAAAACCGGAGTTTTATACAGATTTCGTGAGGATCTGTGATGACTATTTCTTGATTTATGCACATTTGTTGAACAAGAAACATTTTACTATGTTGTATAAGTTGTTGTGCCATGCGTGTGGCCGGTATAGCCCGCCGTGACTGGGGCGCAACCTCATCGGATTGAATTGTACGCGCCGTAATGACATAAAGTGCTTTTAGTGAGAAGCCCTCGCAATGCCGCGGGAGGTAGGGTTGCTGCCCTCTGCCCTCTCAGGGTGCTAATTGATACCACTCTTATACAATAAATGTGTTAATCCAATAGTTGCGAGAGCGATGTAAGTAATAGTTGGAATGTTCAAGAAAGGATTTTTCGTGAATCGGTCAATTAAGTAATTAGAGATCGTCTTATGTTTTAGTAATTAGTAGTAGTAAGAATACGTGGTCATTATTTACTACAATATTCCAGACATTTGATGGAAACAGGAGACCAAATATCCAATCTTTTCATTCAACAATAAGTAACAAAAAAACATGGTTTTAAAGCAACTTTAAAACAGTGCAATATTGTCAATTCATAAAACTAGTACAGCTAACATAGGAAGCTATACCCGTAACACTAACTATGAGCTCGTTTAACTTACAAGACAACGTCTCGTACAAGTTGCCTGCACTTAGTATGAACTTGTGCATCTTTGACTCTAGTTCGAGGGTTCTCATATCACCAGTATACTGCAGGGATCAATTCACATCGTCGTTACTTTAATCGTGTGTCAGATTGTGGGGTATAAGCACTTGAACTAAGTTTTGAGGTCGAAGTTGTCGTGCATAGTCCCAAGTCTAGTGTTCCTCCAGATGCATAACAAATTAGGTTCAGAATCATTTAGTTCCTAAATGGCCTAAGCCATTTGCCAAGCATCTTTTGCCTTAAAGAATTCTTTTATTTACATTTTTTAAAGTGTGGGAGAGCCAAACTTGCATGAAAAGTCAACTCCACCGGTATCACGGCTTCACAAAAAGCCGGCGTGAAACAACCACAGCGTTGTGTTTCGCCATGCGAGTAAAGGTTACCGGAGGCTCAATCCCTTCCAAATTCCCAAGTATCCGAAATCCTAATCCCAAAACCCAGCGACGCACTCGTAACTCCTCTGATGTTACGGGTGTCCGTAGACGGTGGCGACTGCTTACCATCAGGTAATCCGTCTGCTCGTTTGCCGAACCATGACAAAAAAATACATATAGCTTTTTAATATGTGTGTTATTCAGTTGTTTAATACACTAGGTATGCAGCATACAAATTGCTCAGTGGAGAGATTAGACAGCTGTGTGAGGCAGGTCAGGTAGGCATGCAGCCGCCTGGGATTTGCAGGCAAATGCTGGGATGTATAGTACAGCTGGAATGTATGAGTACATTATTTAATAGGTTGCCTCATGTTATATACAATTTATTTCATATACCGATACATAAAGAGGTTCATAGATACATATGTATACTGTACAGAAACTATCTATATGTAACTATGTGTTTTGCTGTGTGAGTGAGGTTACCAGAGGCCCATCAAATCCCAAACCTTAAATATCCGAAATTCTTATCCCCAAAAAAGCCGGCAACACATTTTATCTTTTGGTGTTGCGTCCATGGACGGCGTCGAATGCTTGCCATCAGGTCAGGACGTCTGCTCGTTTGCCGACCCCATAAAAAAATCTGAAGTTCTCCTTATTTTAATTTTCATTTATCTTCTCAGTTTTTTGTTTGAATACTGTTGGTATTGTGACTTGTACTGAATAATATGTTATTTATTTTGTTTTGACTAAAATAGTCGTGTCCCACATTCGGTTCCCGGCCGGTAATGAAGTAAAGCACGTTTCCAATACAGACTTTCGTATCCATTTACCGGCGCTATCTTAACGCGAATCAATTTGATTCTACATATTTACCGAAATGTTTTCTAGAAAAAGCTAGACGAAGTAAATACTGGAAATAAATGTTTTATCATATCGTAGTGTTTTAGAACATTATGTGTTTGTACATTTTTTTGAGGGGGAAAATGATTAAATTCTTTCACTCGGCCAGTGTGACGCCAGAGGGAGTGTAAGACACTTACTGACTAAAAACCCCCCTGTTCCTTCTCCTGCTCTGGGTCGAGGTCGCAGTGCCTCATTGCGCTTACCCCGCAACCCCAATTTAACATCAGCTCTATAGGGCCCCGTTTGCAGTGGTGTACTGGCCTCTCGCCCAGGGTAAGACAAGAGTGCCAAACTCTTACCGACTAAAAACCACCCTGTTGCTTCTTATGCTCCCGGCTGGGCTGCGATACCTAATTGCGGTTTACCCACAACTCTGCCTGAACACCGGTCCTGTAGGGCCCCGTCTATGGTGGTCTATTGGCTCTTTGAGGAGCGCGCGGAATGCTACGCGCCACACACTAAGATTTGGTTCTGGTCTGGTGGCGAGTTACCCTTATCGCTGTCCGCAGACCCGCTATGCATACATAGTGGTTGGATGTTATGACAGTGGAGCTGCTACATAACTGGTATTCTCGGGGAGAGACAAAAAACTGAAAAATGGACATGACAATTCAATTCCAAAAACAGAGGTCACTTTATCTTTACCGGTTATTTAATGAAGCAGATTTTTTAATCTATACTAATATTATAAAAAGGTAAAATTTGTATGTTTGTATGTAGGGGGTAATCTTTGGAACCGCTGGTCGGATTGCCAAAATTATTTCACTGATAGATAGCTACTATGTTCCGTCCTGCTATAGGCCATAAAACATCACGTTACGATTAAATAGAGCCGAGCAGCGGGTAAGACTGTGAGAGAGTAGGTAGTAGGTAATATTGCAAGAAACCAGTAGCAATTATTCGATGTTTACTTCATTATTATGCCTTCAGCGTAGTTGATACCGCGGGCGATATTTAGTCATGTTCGGTGTGGCGTGACGTCACGTATCCCGTGGCAGTATCTCAACCTAAACTTGTAAGACAATAGCAGTACACACGTGGCCAAACATATGTGCTAGTGTCATTGTACATAACTATTATATGTATACTTGTATGCATATATATATATGTATGTATGTTGTAACGTAGTGTTTGTACCTTATCGTGTGTAACGTTTCAGAGCTCGATCATTGTTGATAAGGAATCAGGCAGACTTGTGTATGATCCATAGATTGGTGTTCCGAGTTTGGGTGTGTCGTGAAATAGTATGTTTGTAAATGAACTCTCGATACGGAAGAAAGAGAGTGAAGCAACGCTTTTTCTAAGATATAAAAAAAAAAAAAATTCGGCTTTAGAATGTCAGGAAATTCGCAGTAATATCAGCGATCATGGAATAATTACGGCAATTGCTGACATTGTTCTCAAGTCAATTAAAATTCATAGATGTCTAGGTAATGGTAGAAACGCAATGGACCCGAAACAGATTTGTATTCCTAGATCTTCCACTAGTGTAATTAATAATAATAATAATAATGTCCCATTTCACTTATATTAAAGTTGTTCAACGGGCCTCTGCGAGTTGGCTTCGGCCCCTCGTACGCCTTCCAAAGGTCCGGGATCCTGTGATCCCGTGAACGGAAACGAACATACATAATAATAATAATAAATCATTTATTTGTCAGAATATTGTTAAAATGGTGTTACATATTATTGAAATTTGGTACATCATATTCTACCGTTTCCGGCGTACAAACATTATTTTTGAAAGGAGAAAAGAACAGAAAATGATGGCACGTCAATGACGATAGTTATCTAATATACTATACATACAGAAGTGTCAATATATAAGGTGGTCAGATTCAAAATAATTATAATAGGTACAGGATACGTATGTCAGAATTTAATATTTATGCTATTATATCGGGACAGTCAAAATTTATTATTTATTACATTAGGAAAGAGGTGTCAGAATGTACACCTTAGAATATAAATTTTAGGATTTGTCAAGTAAATTTGCTGGTTGTTGTTTAGTTATTTTATCCTCTAGAAAATGAGTCGTTGAGTTGTAGCACTTATTCAGCAAAAAAATAAATAATTTATTTTTAAATGTACTCAAGGTCATAGTTTTGAAAATATCGGGTAGTTTATTATAAATTCTGATTGCCATACAAAAAACATTGCTGGAGAATAATTTTATGTTTTGTCTGGGTA